ACTTGACTGGACAATCAAATTATGGCATTCAAATTAAAATATCATATCTAATCTAGTATGTAGTTATGCTACGAGCTATCTACTGTACAGATGACCATTGCAGTTGAATAACTATATTAGAAATTCTTATGAATAATAACAAAGTACAATTGCTTTCTCATAACACTTTAATAATATAATAGTTTTCGAATTTAATATTAGTAAATGCTTATTAATGTTGATATAACTTAAATTTTATATATTTTTATAAATTTTATATTTTATAAATGAAAATTTAATATCTTTTTTCAGAAAGGAAGTAATCAGTTACTCAACATGGTATAATCATTTTCAAAGATCATCTACCTCTAAAATACAACATAATTTCCGTTTTGGTTTTCCTATACTTTTCCTATATAACAAAACTTGAACTAATCGGAACTCAACAATATAGATCACATTTTTGTGATTAAAAAAGTGAAAAGTGAAAATTGTAAATTTTGTAAAATTTTAGGTAATTGAATAACAAAAAAATTTATTCGTTACCAAAATTTACGATTTTGATTATTTTAATGCTATAATTTGAATAAAAATGAACTTTATTGTCTGTAGTCTATAATTTAATTTACATTAAGTTATGGGATAAAAGATATTTTTATATTATTTGAATATTTATTGTTATACAACTTTAATATACAAGTTTGAATGTATTATAAAATTCATATTTAAAGTACTTGAAACAATAAATAAATTTTACACTAATTAATTGCAGAGTCAAAATGCATCTAATATTTATTAAGCTCTAAAAATCCAAACTACATTACCAGCAACATATTGCTGGTGATGCAGTCTGACAGTTAATGAAATTCAACTTATTTATTGCGCTTTTCTTTTTAGTTTATTTTCGATTGGATTTAGTGATCCATTAAAAATTTAACTAAAAAATATTTGAAGTACAATTGTTGAATATGCAGTGTGAATAATATTAAAACATAAAAAATAAAAAATATACAATTAATTCTAAAAATCTTAATAATAAAATATTACATAAGTGCATTTTCATTCAATATATTAGAGTGATTAAGAAAATTACCTAAAGATTCATTAAAATGCATAAATATTTTAAAATTTATAATAATTCATTGAAGCATACGTCATCCCTGAGCTACTAAATTTTCCACAAATTTATGTATTTAATTGAAATATGTTAAAAATATTTTTAACAAAAAATATATATATTCATATGTATTTACAGAAATCATTGTAGAAAAAAAATTACATACATTTTTTAATTCATCACACCACAAGAGTATTCCAACGTGTTTTTATTTTAACAACTGACCAGATTATAACGCCATCATATCATATTAAAATTAAAATATTCGCGGATTAATGTTCAGAAAAAAAAGATTATTATGAATTATTTTGACACCCAAGTACATACAGCATATTAATAAATGTATAAAAAGATGTTGACAAATCAATGACTGAATAAATTTTCCTACTGTGTATGTTATTGTACGTATACCGAGCTAACTAAATTGACGGTAATTATTGGTCTTTATGGATTATGAAGGTATTTATTGGTATTCTAAAAGTTTGTGCAAAAAATTATAGAATTGGAAGAAAATTTGAATTTTTGATTACTGTCTACATTTAAGATTAATAATATTTGAGGGAAAAAAAATCGTCCATTTTAACTATATTTTTATTGATAAACAATTTATATTAGATATTTAGGCAAGTTATAGCAACAATATAAATTTATTCAATATGGTTATTATTTAATAAATTAATTTCATTAAAATTTAATAGATCTGAATAGACTCCATTTGTTTTATTAATATTCCCATACCAATTAAAGCCCAACATAAAAAATAACTGAAACTAGTACTATAACTAAGGCTAGTATACAATTACTGTAAGAAATCAATTTGAAAAATTGCACTATAACTCTATTATTTTTTCGAATATTATTTCCTAATATTTTTAAATATTATGATTAATGACAATTCTATATGAGTTCCAAAAGTATATAGTAAAAATAATTACCATCTCACCTGTTACACAAATCCCTAATGATTAATGAATATTCAATGTAAATTAAAAATTTATTTTACATGCGGTCTTTATAACATCTAATTTTAATTATGTGATTTTTTCTATTAAAAATTTCCCATTAAAATATCAACATTTCATTAATAAAAACAAAAATTCAAAAATATTAATAATTTTTACTTAAGTTTTAATTAATCTCAATGGTTTATTGCTTTTGTTGCAAAATAATATTCTTAAACAAATTATATTATGTGTGTGTGTATGTATATTTACATTACCGTGCAATGAGAAGAAAATCAATTGTGTCACATACAGCGCACTCTATATTGTGACATAAATTAGTCAATAAATTATAATGACAATCATTATTAGCTATAATTAATCAAATGTCAATTGTGCTGTTAATTATTGAAAATATTTAAATTATAAAGTTAATCTTTCTGTTGTTTCTTGTTTTTTTATTAAAATGCGGAAATAAATTTTAAAAAATATAAAGAATTTTGCTTTTGGCATTTTCTATATTGAATATCAATTTAAATGTCTTCATCGATGACATTAATAATATTAATTATTTTTGCAAAATATATTTAAAATGTAATTACAAGAATATTACAACAAGAATATTGAGTGATGATAAGCACTAAATTTAAGAATTTTTTTTTTATTATTTTAGGTATTTTTTAAACAAACAAACGCGTAATTTGTTCCGTATGCAGACAATCTTATTCTTATTGAGAAAAGTTTTGAAATTTTTTTAAGTATTTAATTTATTTGTTAATTTTGCTACATTTTTTTACAGGAATGCATTAATTTATTTGATTTTTAATTAAAAAACTCTGTATCAAAAATGATTAAAAGGATGCAGTTCATTTCTACACCGGCAAAACAGCTGAGATTCGTCCAAGTGAATTTTTGTTGCAATCGACAACATGATTTTGTTTTTATTAATATAAACCGAGTTGAATATGGTATAAGAAGTGTTACGCTTCATTTAACAAAGCCGAATCAACAATATCTTAAATATTTAATTGGTATGCATTGAATTTGTTTTGAACCCCCAAAGGTATGCATTATTAGAAAGTCTAGATAGTTAACCAATAATTTAAAGCATTTATATTAACCTTTGACCGACAAGATCGTAGACAAATTTTGCTTGCGCCTTCCGCTTTTTCTTTTGTAATCTCTTCCTTATACTTCTCTTTCACACTTTTATTTGTCTTTGCAAATTAGTCATGCGTAAAATATTTACGAGAAATTGGAAAAGAATTATTTTAAAAATTAATATCAAGTCGACGCATTTGTTAAAAATTTCATCTCGTACTTTAAAGTTTAAAGTAAATTTTTTGTTTTATTGTCAAAAAAAAAAACTCTCTACCAAAATTCAAATGTCTCAATTTACCTAACTAAATTTTCCTAAAACAACATACAAACAACATAACTAAAATAATTTAAATGAAAAATTTCAATATAGTTCAGTTGATGACCTTCAAATCAAACCTTTATCTACACAACATGGTAACGATTTTATTTCAAAATCTAAAAATACTCAAAGTGTATGTCAAAATCTAGAGTAAAATTTTATTTACTTAAAAAAACAGTTATATTGTTAATTTTAAATAAAATTAATTTACTTTTAATAACATCAACCACATATTTTTTTTATATTTACAATAAATTCAATTAATTGGCAATTTTATTGAAATAACAGAAAATTTAATTGAAAATTTAAATTAAAAGATTATAATTTTAATTTGAAATTCATAAAATTTAATTATTTTACATGATCTAGAAATAGGCGAGAAAATTGAGAAAAAGAAGTGGAAGCAAGAAAAAAAAAAATAACAAATTATTCACAAATCATCGTGAATTTTTAAAGGGCTGATCAAAAAATTTCACACAATTACCAACATTAAAACGCTCGCTCGTATACAAAATACAAGTGATTCAAAAAAAAAAACTCTTTAGCAATATTTTGACCTGAATATTAAGACATAGAAATATTAATTTTTTCTTGTTTTTCTTCTTCTTTTTTTTTTAGACCTTTCATTGCATTTGGTTTTTCATTATGAAGTTTAATCGTTCAACTATATGCTGATGGTTTATGTTGTCTTTTTGTATGGGTATGTTGTCTTTTTGTATTTTGTATGATAAATGTTCGATTTTCAGACTACTTAATCAAAAGTCATCACTATGCAAAAAATATTAAAATTACGAGTATTATGTGTATTTAAAACATTGGGATGGTACCTGGTGAAGAACTCTTGAATTGCATTTGAAATCATTAATATTAAATTAAAGTTAGGCATTTTATTAATTTAGTTTTCCAGAAAATAGAGCCAAATTCAATTTTGGAAAGACCTAAACAGTACTATGTGTTGTAAGATAAAATTTAATTTTTTTTCGACCTACAAATCAGTACTGAGTAAAACAGAGATTTGACCCAGCAATTAATTGTCATCAATTTATATATTTGGAAGTTGGTAATTTTTGTCTATCAGGTTTAGTGGATAGGGCTCTTAAGCGACTTTCCATCGTATTCTATACCGTGTTAAATTGAAACAGTCCACGCCAGTAATGCATAACTGCAGCCATAAATTTTGCTGTTAATCACAACTGTTATTCAAAGCTTTATAAAAAATTTAAATATATTAATAAAACTTTTACATTTGCTTGAAAATATTGTTCACGGTTCACGATTCAGGACCATTAACAAAAACAATAAATTTAATTAGTAATCATACTTTTATTTTATAGTAAATTTACACTTATATTCGCACATTTGTCTACTTTTTTTAATAAAGTCACTATAATGTACATTAACAAAAGTTATAATAAATAAATAATTAATTATTAACTAAATTAAAATACAATAATTAAATTTTAAGTTTCTATTATTCTAAAAGTTGAATATTATTTGTACTCAAAATTTCTTGTAAAAATTTTTTGTAGAAAAATTCTCAATTTCAAACGTTTGCATTTTTACTTATCCAACTTCTATAATTTGCTACTTTAGCATATACACCAGGATATCTAGGACGAGCACAACCATTTCCCCATGAAACAACACCGATTAATATTGGTTCACCACCATTGAAAACTATTAATGGTCCACCGGAATCACCTTTAAAGAAAATATGCGTTAAAATAATGTAATTACATAAAAAAAAAACATTAATATACTATAAATACCTTGGCAAGAATCACGTCCACCAGCTGAAACACCAGCACATAACATTCCTTCAGTAATTGGTTCTGGATAATATGCGTTTCTGCATGTTGTTTGATCAACAACTAAAATTGATACATAATTTAAAGCACCCGATGAACTTCCACCTTCACGTAATGCTCCCCAACCACTAACAAAAGCAACATTTCCAATTTTTGTACTATTAAAATTATTTAAATTATTATCTAAATTGATTGCTTGAATTTTTGTTGAATATTTAAGTTTATCATTTAAAATTAGAATTGCTATATCATTATCGTGTTCAGTGGTGGTACGATAACCAGTATGTATTATAATTTTGGAAATTTTTACATCAGTTCCCGGACTATCTCTATATGTTGTTCCAGCTCTCACAATCATTTGATTACGATTAATACCGGTAACACAATGTGCAGCTGTTAAAACAACATTCTCAGATATTATAGAACCACCACATCTATGTCTATTTTGATAACGTAATGAAACTTGATGTGGAAATTGTTGTATCGTTGTAGATGCTCCACCAACAATCCGTCCATCTGGTACACTATATAATGTGTATGAAAATGATTTTTGAATGCTCATTAGAGCAATTAAAACGGAAATAACTATCATTTTTATATCACGAAATTAAATTATATTATTTACGTTATTATATTCAAAAAAAGAAAATTATTTTGGTGGTTCTTAAAACTGATGATATTTGGAACTGAATGATTTTAGAAATAATTTTATTCCTTTTATATACATAATTTTTTATTTACTTAAATATTTTAATTACGCATTATAATTTTTAAGGACATCAATCTAACGGTAATTGAACTTTTTGATAAAATTAAGAAAATTATTTTTATTTCCGTATTTCTAAACAAAATTTTAATATTATCAAAAGTCATTGAAAATTTTAAGAAATCATAAGTAATTCCAGTAACTGCGTCATTATATACATTTAATTATTGAAATCAAGATTGTGTGTATGTAGAATTTGTCAAATGAATATCACTATATGCGTCATATACGTGAAGAAAAAGATACTGAAAGCTCTCTATTAGCATACTTTAGAGTAAATATAATTAATTTATCGTTTTTTATCATAGTCTAGTCAAAGATTACTAATCTAATCCATTACATAATGTTGTAATGAGTTCAAAGTACCTACTGTATTTTCACATTCATACGTACAAGTAAGTGTTTATACAATATAAAAATAAAAATTTTTTTTATTCATAAGATCATAAAATTATGAATACATTCAAGCTGGCAATGCTATTTATTTGAAAGTATACTTTTATAGTATTACATATTAGACTAGAAAGTAGCTTCTTTTGAGAACTTTCCTAGATTTGCAAGTTAGACGCCACATTCCAAGTTTAAATAATGAAGAAAGACAGAAAAAACTTCAATGATTTTTCTCGAAACATATGACACAATCATTTACATCAATAGCCTGGAAAACTACATTTTCGACTGCTATAAGATATTTGAATTTATTAAGAATTAGCAAGACCCAATTAAGAGCTGGTCGGAATCTCTAATCTTGGATGTAAAATAGCTTAATAATAGCTTAATAAGTTTTAATAGCAAATTTTTGTTTTGTCATATTTTTTAAGCCATAAACTTTGAATATTTTATTCACAATAGCAGTAAAATTCTACCAATATTTTCAAACTTTAATATAATTTTTCCAATTAAAACTATGATGATTTATCAATTTAGAATTATATTAAAAACTAAATATTTTATATATTATAATAATTATGGTATTAAGGACGCATCTTCATGTTAAAATTAAGTGACAAATACAAAAAAAAACCAAAATTATATTAACGCAAATAATTTATGTACGTACATTCACTGTATACATTAAGTAAATGCATCATAATACATTTGTTAGTATGTATGTATATAATTGAACTATATGTTCAATATTAAATTTTAAACTCTTATTCTTATTATGTTTTAATGGCAATTAAATATAATTTAATTTTTACTTTAATTATGACCATATTAAAAATTACTGTTTCACAATATAAGCTGAAATTTATAAGCATCATAATAATAGTAATGGTAAGTAAGTGCATTTTATCAGAAATTTTGTGTTGTAAGCAAATATGGGTGATTATCAGATGTTCTCAACTACGTACATATGTGCAAAAACCTAATACATTGTGTATTAGATTTTTAATAGATTCCTATAGATCATGATTTATAGGAATAAATATGAAATCGAAATGAAAAATCGCTTTGAATAAGAATTTTTTTAATATATTTAAAATTAAATGAAGCATAAGGCAGCATACATGTGTGACTTCGATTGTTTTAAGAGATTTTTAGCTGGAAAACTCGTTGATTTGGTTCATTTTGAGAAAATAATCAAACACCAAGAATACTGTCAACATATACTTGGTTAGATTGTCTGATTTTTCGATTTTATCATCTGTATAGCTACAGCGTTTTTCATTCAAGTTTCGCATTTTCATTTCATGACAAAAATTTTTACGCTGACAATTTAATTTATTGATTTCACATATCTTTTCTTGCTTAGTTATTTTTTTTAGTTTTAAAATCAAAACAGTGTTACCTACACCTGTTTGTGTCTAAATTTCAAAATCAAAATATTATTAAAATTCCCATTCTAAATTTCCTGAATATATTCACCGTTACATTATATTATATATATGCAAACAAATAATATATAACTTTATATATTATTTTTTAAATATCTAACATCATTTTTAATTTGTTTGATCTGCTTCTGCCATTTTTGCTATTCTTAATAAGCTAAATCACAAAATAGCATAATACTACAAAATTTTCAAAAAAAAAATAAAGTAAGAACTACAAAATGAAGATGAATCGAATTCAATGATGTATTCAATTTTTTTTTTTGAATAACATCAAAATATTTTGATGAAACAATCTGCAATATCATATTAACAATCAGCCTTTGAATCTGACATACAAATTGTATATGAACATAAAATATAATAATGTAAGAACATAAGAAATTAGACTAGACGACTTAAGAAAAAAAAAGTCAATATACAATATACTTAACTAATATATAAGTTTCAAAAAAAAAAAAAAATGATGAGAAAAAATTCAATCAATTAAACTCGATACAAAAGAATGCATGCATATTGTCATCGTCACTCGTCATTCATTCTAAATTAGTATCATCATCATCAACATCTTCAATAACCATCATTATTTCTAGTAATATTAGTACCCGTTTCTTAGTAAATAATATTGTTATCGAGTTTGTAAATTTTAATTCAATATTTCAACTTAAAATAGTGTACTCATATAAAAAGAACAAAAAAATCTAATTCTATTATTAATATTTTGTTTCTTTACAGGTACTTTTTTGTGTTCTTGTCAATAACCTGGCAGTGATTTAATACCTATATGTCATTTATATAACGTTTAAATGTTTGTTGCATTGCATAAAAGTATTTGAAAATTTTGTTACTTTATAAGATATTCTGATACTTATGCAAAGAAGATATTGAATTTAAAAATTGACAAAAATTGAAATTTTAGTTTGTACACTTGTGTCTTAGCACATTTCAAAAGTAAACTATAGAGGAAAAAAGCTGGCGAACTATAAGAGAAAAAGAAAAAGGAACAAAATATCTTCGTAAATTTTTTTTTTTAATTTAAAATTCGCACATTTAAAATAAAATTTATGATTATGATCAAAAATCACATAGCTAGTTTTGAATTCTCTATTGTGAATTTCAATATAGGTACTTATGCGATGTTATTACACTTGTTTTTATTATCTAGTCGCAGAATATTAACTACGATAGCGACTATGCAAGTGAATGAATGTATATAGTTAGTTATATAAAATATTTTTTTTTCGAAAATAGAAAATTTCGATTTAAAAATTTAAAAAATTGGTTCGAATTTAATGAAAATTATTAGTATACGAGTACAACTTGAAAGGTGACATAATTGACAGTTATATCCAAATGACAAACATGTAATCGTTTTCTGCGTTTCGATTGACCTTGTGATGATTGTGATATTGTAAATTTTTGTTTTACCAATTTTATTCAATATTTGTAAATAAAATTTATTTTTAAAATTGAATGTTTCATATATGTAAGTACATTGTACATCACACACACTTACCTACATAAGTAAGAAAATGAAATTTACAGTAAAATAACAATTAATTTTGATGACAGCTTTCCATTTACGGAGAAAATAGGAAAATTAAATGTATTTTTTCTCTTTTAGAATTTTTTACCAGAAAATTTCATATGGAATAGGGTTATTTTTAATAAATGCAGATTAAAAACTCAAGTAGATACTATCCAGGAGTTGTTTAAAGGGCAAGTAAAATTTCGACTTTAAATAGTATTAAAAATTACTCAAAAAAATAGGCTATTTAACTTAATGTACTCCTTAACTTTCACATAGTTGAGTGACTTTTATAAATATGACTCATATTCAATAGAGCTCATGTTGCCTGTATTTCACTATTATTCTCTCTATGGAACTGAAATTGAACTCTTTCAAAATTGTCTTGCATTCAATATATTAAAAATAACTTTTACCAAAAAAATTAATTTAATAAAAATGATTATTGATTATATAATATTGGTTTAATTACAATCAGAAAATAAATCTTATAATTCATTGCTCAAAATAAATAAAATTCTACTTTAATTGAACAGAAATTTCTGTTTTGCCATACTCGCTTCAAAATTATAATTGTTAAAGTCAACAAAATTTTTTTTTGTAATATTTTATGCAATTACTCGATTGAAAACTTTCGATTTTCATGACAAGTACTTTAATTTTTTTTTTTTTTGCAAATTATTTTAATTTTCTTTTCTTTTCATAAAATTTTAATAAGAGTTAGAAAAACAATATCAAAAAATTAAAACTTAAATTAATAATGACTTGATTGTTTTCGTTTAAAGATTTTCAATGATTTCAAAGATTTTCTAAGAGATTCTTATTTTTATTAATGTTTGTTATCTTATGGTTTTCAATTTTCCTTTTTTCACCGATCGCATTGCATACAATAAGGGAGGTTGTGTGATGGCTCCGAATTTCGGATGTCGAGTTTTCGGTGGGAACGCATTTCTCCATAGTAGGGAGGCGTAAACAAGTTATTTTTATAAGCATGTGGGTCCGTCTATTGGTCTGTCGGTCTGTCTGTTTGAGTGTCCACTCGTGCATCTCAACATCGACTGAACCGATTTTGACGAATCTCGGGGTGTTAAAACAATAAACCTATAAATTTTTTTGAAAGATTAGAGACACCGAACTAGGATCCGATTTAAAATTTTTTACCATATCTATACAGAACGGATTGATAGAATTTTTTTGAAACTTAATATTGAAACTGGAAAAATTGGTGAACTTTTCAAGGAATTCGGATGGGACAAAGCAAAACCTTTCAAAGAATTTTTTTGAAACTTAATATTGAAACTGGAAAAATTGGTGAACTTTTCAAGGAATTCGGATGGGACAAAGCAAAACCAAATTTAAATTTTTTAGGTATGTTAAGTAAAAGCTAGCTAACTTCTTTAAAATTGGAGGGAAGTGTTCAAAATACATTTTCATAATCTTCTGTAACATTTTCACTAAACTAG